ATGATATATAAAAGGTAGAAATGCTGAATGGGTCAGGTGGAAAGCAGTCAAGGAACTCATAAAATTACTGTTTGTTCAGCTGACTAATATCACCTCCCATTGACAAAAATAAAAGTCCACCTCTTGAAGGGCAAGTAAGATTTATTTTCTTCCAGATAATTTCCTTCTAGGCAGAAAAGCTGCTTTAGTTGGCAGCAGAACCAGCCCTGGGAGAACAGGTAGAGGAGTGTGAATGACCTGTTTACTAAAGAAACAGCAATTAAAGATGTGTGAATGTAGTTCATTTCTCTGGCCTGACCTTCCTGGTTCCTCCTAGTTTTCTGATCTTCTTGGTTCTGCTTCCTTTCAAGGTAATCTTAAAATCTAACTGTCATCTCACTGATTCTGATGAATGACAACCCCACATGTGGGAAAGTAGACCTGTCCACTGTGGGGCTTTCAAAGGCTGATGTTTTGGAACTGGGTCACCAGGCCTTTCTTCTGTGGTGCTTGAGATAGACTCAAACCTCCAATCTTTCAGTTAGCAACAAAGCATCCATCTGTATCACCCAGGGACTTGACAAAGTACAGCCCAATTCAAGGCCAAGAACACAATCCCAACAAAGCTGTTAAGAAGAACAAAGTGTAGGGACAAGGGTGGCTCTGAACTCAGGTAACACCAGGTGATGGGCTCCACACACAGGGTCATATTTATATCTCTCCCACCACACACCCAGCCCTGGCCCAGAGGTGTACGATAACCGGTGACTAAATGGATGGAATATCTTTGTTTGTTTGAGGTTTCCCCCCACCATCAGACTCTTGATATTTCTCTGTATTTTTCTGGCTACTCTTCAAAAGTTTAAAAGTGTGTGCATTTGCCTTTTTTTGCTTTTTTTTCCCTTTTGTCCAAAGGAGAACGAGCTGGAAGAATGGGTGATGGGCTGGACATAACCACTTCTCGACACCCATGGGATACAACGGAATGAGACAGAAAGATCCAGGGTGGTATGTGGTCCCACACTTCACAGAGGATACTGACCAAAGTTCAAGGTTCCACAAGGGACCAATTGGAAGTACGAATTTATTAAAGATGTAATCCAAATTAATACCACTTTGCAGATTTCACTCATTGTGACAAACTAACAATATTCTGAGATCTTAGTATCAACATAGAAAGAAACACAGCATAGAAAACAACAGACTTTGTTATAAGCAACATTGAAGTTGCCAGATTGGCTCCACAGTATTTTAGAATGCTAAAGAAATTCCAGGCTTCTCCCTCAACTTCTTGCCTCATAAGGAATGCACCCATAATAAAGGGTTAAATACTCTTTCAGAACAGCCAATACTGTGATTTTCCAATGATGAAGAAAGAGCTGGAATCTGTTTTTTAGGAAGTGCCACCCAGTGGTTCTGGCCTGATCTTGCATCACAATAAGAAACAAAAGTACATTCCCTTATTCACATCACTGTTTTCTAAGAGAGGAGCTGTGGTTGTTTGGTTCATAAGGAGTTGCACAGTACTGCTCTGGCAGTTCGAATACACCAGTCACTCTGTTTGGAAAGACGGGCAACTGACAGCCTCTGAAAATCTCCGCGGAGGTTAACTTAACTGCAGAGGCAGTTAAGACCTGAAGTCCATTCTCATGTCTCCTCAGTCATTGCTTCCACAACCTTTTCAGCTCTTTCCTGAATAACTAGAGTTCTCAGGGTGTTCTTCTGAATGTACACTTCTAAATGTGCTCCTCTGTCAATGCCCATGTCTGTGTTTCTAATTTTTTTAAAAAAGACATGTGGCAATAGGGAGCTCTGATGATCAAATGGTAAGAAGCTGTGCTGCAATCCTGAAGGCACACGGTTTGAGGCTACCAGCTGCTACATGGGAAAAGTTTGAGCAATCTCCTCCTGTGCTTTTAACTGCCTCTGAAAACCCACTGGAGAGTGATAAAGGGGTTAGTTCTGACTCGGAGGTGCACAACAACAACATATCATATTTTGGTTGTATGGGTTAACAAGATAGATTGAATAAGCACTCAGGAAATCAAAAAACGTATTGTGATGGGAAAGTTTGCTGCTAGGGATCTCTCGAAAGTACTCAAGAGCAACGGTGTGTCTCTGGAGTCTAAGGTGCATCTGATACAGGCCAAGGTCTTTGCAATCACTTGTTATGCATCAGAGAGTTGGACAATGACCAAGGAGAATAGAAGGGGAATCGATGCCTTTGAGCTGTGGTGCTGGAGAAGAGTCTTGAATATACTTTGGACTGCAAGAAAACAAACAGATTCATCCTGGAGAAAGTTAAACCAGGCTACTCCTTGGAGGCAAAGATTCTGGGGCTTCGTCTGACATAATTTGGACATGTTGTAAGAAGGCACAGGTCCTTGGAGAGGGAGATCATGCTTGGGAGGGTGGAGGGACAGCACAGGATGGGAACACCCTCTACGAGGTGGATTGATTCAGTGACTGGGGTAATCAGGATGGGTGTGTCAGAGGCAGTGCGACTGGCACAGGATAGAGCAGGGTTTAGGGCTGTTGTACATAGGGTTGCTATGAGTTGTAAACGACTTGACGGCACATAACAACAACAACTACAATTTAAGTAAATCTAGAACAAAAGGTCTTATTCTATTAAGTGTCCATCCACTGTTGAAACTCAGTTCTCCTCTAGGTGGTGCTAAGTCTGCTGGTTTTAGCCTAAGATTTCATTTCAGTAACTGGGCCTTTCAGATGGCTTCATCAAGACCCAGAGAGGCTTATTTAGAAAGCATGAAATCACAGGGAGGGAAGGAAAGCACAGACGTGGATTTGTATTGACTTGCTACTTTCATACATGTTGCTGAATGCCGTTAATTTTGCTTGATGCTGACTCCACGTTACAGAGCAGAGCTGCCCAGTGATCACCAGGTCTTTTTCCCATGGAGCTGCTGGGTACGATTGAATCATCGACCTTTCAGTTAGTAGCTGAGTACTTAACTATTTGCCACCAGACTTCTTTATTTTTATATCTGTCTATTCATATAAACATATACACATACACATTCATTTCACTTAGTGACACGGTTAGGGTCCAAAGACCAAGTGTTATGTAAAATTAAAGGATGACCCTATCACATTACTGAAAAGGAGGATGGCAGACTGAATCGTCACACTGCTACACCACTGAGAGACCTGGCCTGCCACACTGATGTGCACAGGTCTCACAGCCAGTCCTACTCTTGCCTTGTATTACTGCCGGACGTCCATTATTTATCCAAAAATAGCCAGACATTTTTAAAATACATTTTTATAGAAAGAAAATTTTAGGTAACAAAGAGAGTCATTAAGTGAGGAAGAGGTATATACATCCTTCCATTTTCTGCAAATTGGTATTTTTTTATACATATATTCTGCAAATCTAAACTTCTTTGAAAGTGTCTGGGCTGTATTCTGGTGGTTGGCTGTTGTTTTGGGTCGTGTGTTATTTTCTTTTAAAGTGTCCTGAGTTTGGTATGGGTCTTAAGCTTTTTAAGAAGCCAGGCCATGTGAGGTTTTGCTTACTGAAACTGTAACAACAGACACTAAAGCAATATGGAATACCAACCTGTGGTGAACTGGAAGGAAACAGTTACAAGGAGTTGTACAGGGAACATGAAGGCGAGCTCCTTGTCCCAGAGGTCATGTGTGTGAAACTCAGAAGCAGAATCTCTGTGATCTGATAGTCAAAGTTCACCAAGATGCTGATTAGGACAAAATGATGCTTTGCCTTGAGGAATAAACTCTTGACATCTAGCTAGAGAGCTGGTGAGTGAGCAGGATTACTATTACGGTGATCCTGGCCACGTGTACCTGGGGACTAGGAGGTGCACGCGTGGTTTTCTCATCTGACCTGCTAGTAGGTACTCTACTGGACCCCAGAAACTTGCAAAACGAGCCAACAAAAGTCTTAAAAGACTTGGCGTAGAATGACCATATTTCTAACCTGGGGACGTGATTTCACTGAATGTTAAAAATGTCTCAATACCCTTATAATTTCATGATCTGACCTCATTAATATCTTTCAATGCACTAGTATCTCCATTCTTTTCTGGATTAACAAAATCTGTAACTTTTCAGAATAGTACTTACTTACTATAAAAAAAGAAAAATTCTTTTTGGCTCTTCCACTGCCAACAAAATATTTCATTAAATTGAAATATTCCCTTTTTCTTACAAATTAGAGATTGACTCTCTCAAAATTCCTAGAAGCCTATTTGTACCTACTTGGAGATATTATGCATTGTTTCCTATCAGAGTTTTTCAGATGAACAAGGAAAATGCACTTTAATAGGTGATTAGCTTTACCACAGCTACTGAACGTTACAACAAGAAAACGAGAATACAATAACACAAGTCAAAAGATTTTTTCCTTCTTCTACAAGTGTTCAACTTACCTGTTTAATTTTTTTTCCATTTAGAAAAATAGAGGATTAAACTATGTCCACTATATAGCCAACATAAATTATGTCTATATCACATAAGTAGCTGATGAGAAAAAAGATGGTAGAAAAGATAAAGGACGAAAGAAAAAAAATTAAAGTAAGCAGAGGGAGGTAAAAGGGAAAAAGTAGAGAAATAGACAGAAAAACAGTAAAGTATAGCTAGCAAATGAGAAAAGCCCACGTGGCAGCCAGGAGAGAGAGGTAAACAGGTTTGCATAGAAAGATCAGAGACCTGAGGTTTGCATCGATAGATCAGAGACCTGAGTTGAAATAAACTTTTCACATTTTTGCCCACTGAGCACTAAGTCTCTGTACGGGGCACGGTCCTTTAAAAGTCGGTGAACTTCTGAACTGTGCTGCACAGTTTTTGCAGCTATTATCCTTTGATCTAGAGCAGCCCTTCATTTAGAGAGGCAGTCATCAGGGAACTTAGGACCAAGGTGGCAGCGTCCTGAGCAAGTTCACCTCTGAGCCAGAGGAATGTTAACTCAGAGCTGGACCTGGGCGTAGGCCAGCAAGAACCAGTCTCAGGCCCATGATCTTTGACAAGAGTTTACTAACCTCCTCGACCATCTGCTTGACTTTCTTCTGCTGACAATGCACCATGTCATCTAGGTGTCGGATCCGCTCACGGAGGCTGGCGGATGCCTCCTCCAGCTGCTGATACCTAACACATGTGGACAAAAGAAGCGATCAAGTCCTAATTCAAAGTAGTAACATCAGCACAGAAACTCACAACTTCAGGGAAACACTGCCAAGTAGCAAGCAATGACATTAAAAAAAAAAAAAAAAAATACATTCTCCTGACTTTGGGTGCATTTCGGGTGATTAACACAGGTCTGGTAGCACAGTGGTTAAGTGCCCCCTGCTGGCCAAAAAATTCAGTGGTTCAAACCCACCAGGGGCTCTCCAGGAGAAAGCGGGGCAATCTGTTTCTATAAAGATTCACAACCTTGGAAACTCTTTGGGAGAGTTGTACTCTGTCCTACAGAGTTGCTATGATATGGATGAACTCCACCACAGGAAGTTTTGGTTTGAGTGGGCAATTAACTGCCAATCAGATACCTCATTGTAGAAGCAATACAGTTCTCTTTTCCAAGTTTTAGCTTGTCTAAGAATTGCTATCATAGGTTCCAGAAACTGAGTGTTGGTATTCTAGTTTTCTGTTTTTCTTTTAGCTTTCTGTTGTTGATGGTACCATTTACACATAAGAGAGAGACGAGAGAGACTATTCTTGTACTTATATGATATTGGAATGTCCTGTAATTAGGAGATAAGGGGGGGAAAGGGAATCTTCAATTTAACAAAAACTGAAATCAATTGATAGAGTCTTGAAAAGTCTGAGGTCAAAATTGTGCTGCACATTACTTAATTTGGATAAATGAGAAACATGCTGAGATATCTCTGCACCAAAATAAAGCAGCGTATATTGCAAAATATGTCGCACTTAAAAAAACAAAACAAAAAAAAATATGTCACACTTTTGTATCAAGTCAGCACAAATTATATTCTGTCTTTGCTTGGTTCAAAGGAGCCAAAGAAATCAGCAGACTCTAGGAGCCAACAGAGGCATGCTAACAAAAGGCCTGATGGCCCACCTCCCACCTCCCATCCCTTCTCAGCAACATGTTCAGAATGAGGAAAGACTACTGTAACTAAAATCTTTGAGTCAGAGATACAAATAAAAACAATGTGGCAGGTAGGATGCCCAGCAGATGCCTCACAATCATCTTCATAAAAAACGAAACAAAGCCAGCTGTTACTGATTTAATTCCAGCTCACGGTAACTTCATATGTCGTAGTAGAACTGTACCCCACAGGGTTTTCAAAGGTTGATTTTTCAGAAGCAGAGATAAGAAAGCCTTTCTTCCAAATTGCCTCTGCATGGACTTGACCCTCCAATAGTTTTTGTTAGAGTCAAGCATTTTGGCCATTTATTTGTGTGCCATCAAGTCAGAACGAACTCAAAGCAGACCCTCAAATGGGTTTTTTAGAGGCAGTAAATCCCAAGGGAGGAGACTGTCCATCCTTCTCCTGCTGAGCGGCTGAGGGATCCAAATCTCATGCCTTTGGGTTTGCAGCACAGCTTCTTGCCAGTAGGCCATACCACCCATGTATTCCTATCATTATCACAACCATTTGCTATAGGTAGCATTGTGTGTTTTGTCTTCCCTCTCTCCAAAAATTTATTATAAAGCCTGACTGCTAAGCCTATGGTCATACTTAATTTGAGAACAAGTTTTCTTTATTATGCTAATGAGGTGGGATTAGCATAGGTTATGTCTTAGATCAATCTTTTTTGAAATATAAAAAGATTAAATGAAAGCTAGCAAGCAAAGATTTGGTAAGATAGATAACAAGACACGTGGAAATCTCCAAGGAACCTGGAAGCAGATGCTGAAGAGACAAAGATCTCATTCCTCCAGAGTGAACAGAGAGAAAGTTAAAGGGTGAGAGGGGACACTACCATGTCTAAGGAGTAAAACAACGGGGCCTGCCAGAATTGAGAGTCCAGGGTCAACACTAAGATGGGGCTGCCTACAGCTTAGGGAGTTGATCACAGTGGGTCGAGAAGGCAGAGCTGAAGCCCAAAATCCAGAAGACACAGCCAACAGCAGAATCTAGAGGGCAGGGTCATTGCCCATGTAGTCTGAGAGGACAGAGAAATTGTTTTAAATCCTTGAGGCCTAATACAACTTATTCTGTTGGAGTGTGGACTTGCTTGGTGCCTATTATCTTTTATCTCCATCTAGTTTCACCCATTTGTAATGGAAATATCTGTTGTTCCTGTTCTATAATTATACTTTGGAAGCAGATAAGTTATATTCTAGATCTCAGAGGTTCACAAATGAAGAGGAATTTTACTGCAGGATGAGATATGCTAAAAGTTTCACCCATATTTGACTGAGATGCTTCAGAAGATAAAATTTTGGACTTGGTATTGATATAAGACTCTGGGAATGATGTGATGGGGTGAATGGGTTTTGCATGTGATAATAACATGAATTTGGGGGGACCAAAGGATAGAACTTATGGATTAAACTGCATTCCTCTCAAAATATGTGTTGCTGCTCCTAACCTCTGTGACTGTGTTTATAATTTCATTCAGTATTGGGTTGTCTTTGTTATGCTAATGATGCTGAATTCATGTAGGGTGTGTTTGTGTCAATTTCTTCTAATGTATAAAAAGATGCTCAAGGAAAGTTAGGAGAGCTCTGGTGGTAGGGAAATGCCAAAATGAAGGCACGTAGTTCGAATCGACCACCTGTTCTGCGGGAGAAAGATGTGCAATCTCCTTTCCACCTCTGAAAACCCACTGGAGGATCAGCTGTGAGCTGGTTCTGACTCAGTGGTACCTAGCAACAAAAAGAAAGGTAATCTAGCAAGCAGAAATAGGGTAAGACAGATGTCAAGCCACACGCCATCTCCACAGAACCTGGAAGCAGAAGCTGAGGAAACAAGGCCCTTCCTCCAGACCTCAGAGAAAGAAGTCTTTGCTTCGAGCTAGAGCTCGGAGTTTGGACTGAAAAATCAATACCTTTGGATTGTGGTACTGGAGCAGAATAATGAGTATTCCATGGACTGCCACACTAACAAACAAGCATCTTAGACAAAGTGCAGCCAAGGTGCTCCTTAGAGGCAAAACACTGAAACTTCATCTCACATACTTTGGTCACATTGTCAGGAGGGACCAGTCCTTGGAGAAAGATATCATGCTGGAAAGGAGGAGGTCAGAGAAAAAGAGGAAGACCCTCAACAAGATGAACTGACAGGCTGGCTGTAACAACAGGCAGGAGCATATGAGGAGGATGGTACAGACTAAGGGTCAGATCTGGCATTCATAGGGTCGCTATGTATTGAAGTTGAGGTGATGTAACACACAGTAACAACAAAAGACTCTTAAACTGTGAAAAAGAAATTTCTGTTTGCTAGAACCATCCAATTTCTGTGCTGTTTCTGTCATAGCAGCACTAAGTAACTATGATTACTTAGAAAATACAAAACCAAACAACTCATTTTATAGAGAAGCAAAGAATCTCCGAGAGATTAAGTTAATTTGTCAAATTGCTCAAATCGCTGCAACCTTGTTTACTTTTACCAGAGAGCCATGAGCAGGGTTTTACTAAGCACTGTCTAGAAACAAAGAGAAAGGTTTTAAAACTCGTTTCCAGGGTAAATGCCAGTAGTCACAGCTGAAGAGATCTCTCATTAGCAAGGTGACATTCAAAGTTATAAAGGATATTTATAGCCTGGACTTTAGCACCATGGCAGTCTCTAATGTGTCCTAGTGACTAGCCGTGGGCCATCGGTGCCTAAGAGCTCTTAAGACCTCAGTTTATATACATAGGAAGCTCTCAACTCAAAGTTTCATATGTATAATAAATCTAACAATGATTGTTGCCCAAATGAATGAAAATGGAAAAATCAAATGACCCCACAAAAACACAGCATGGCCTGCATCTAGATCTATTACAATATAAAGGACATATTCCTTACCTTTCCTTGTCAGAGTAAGATACTTCCCCTGACATTTCTGTTTCATGTTCCAGGAGCTGGAGTTGCAGTTGATGACGTTCCTAAAACAAACAGAAACTGCTGTTCGACTCAAGGGATTTCAAGTTGAGGACAAAGAATGTGCATCCAGGAATCCCATCACTATTGAGTTCCAGTCTCTTACACCCCTGGAGGTCTTACACACCCATTTAACCAAAGCCCAAATGAAGTCACATTTGTTATATATTTATAAACCTGTTCAGGAAAAAAGAGACAAATTCCCCACATACAGCCATTTATGCAAAATTTTTAAGTAAACCAGTATAAAATAAAAGTTTTATAAAAAATGAAATTCATTTGCTTTTTAAAATCTTTCATCAGCTCAGGTTCTGAAGACTTGTCAAAACTGCTTAGTCCTAAATAATGACGACCAATATTAAAAATCAATAGCTAGTGATATTACAAAATTGTTGATTATTTCCTAAACCATCCAGAAAAGATGCTCCTGAACTTTGCACTAATGGTCCCACAAAGATGTCCACATTCTAATTTCCTGAGTTGGAGACTTCATAGGTATGATTAAATAAAGCATCTGCAATGGCAAGGCATCATGGATTACCCGAGAGGATCCAAGGGTCCTCAAAAAAGGCAGAAAGAAAGTCAGAGTCTGAAACAGATATTAGAAGATACTATTCTCTGACTCCAAGGGATGGGGCCAGGAGCCAAGGGACACTACCTTTACAGACACAGACTGTCACATCTTCCTGCTATAGAATGGCTGGTGGGTTTGGCCTGCCAACTTTTTGGTTAGAAGCTGAGTATCTGACCACTGTATCACTAGGGCTCCTTCCTAGGAGGCCTCTAAACCTCAAAAGTCAATGGTATGTATTCTCTCCTAGAAGCTAAAGCAGGAAGGTAACCCATGATTTCCAGGCTTCTGACCTCCACAATCATAAGATAATACATTTGCACTGTCGTAAACCACTGAATTTATAGTAATTTGTTATAGCAGCAGTGGGAAACTACTGCATGCAGCAGTAGTAGGTGAGGCCTTTAAAATATTTTTATTATTTGATATATATGTAAATTTTACACAGTAAAGGTAGTTTCTAGATTATGAAAGTAAGTTTAACTTACATAGTTACAAACCAATCACATAAAGCCAACTATATTAAAAATTTGAGGTCTGTAAAATGGCTCATAATAACAAGCAGGTGCTACTTTACAGTGCTCATCATTGTTTTATTTTATTACTTATTAAAGATGCTTTAGCACACTGGAAGTGTGTATTTAATACACACTTTATACACAGAAAGCAGTTCAAATCCACCAGCTGCTCTGTGAGAGAAAACCAAGCAATCTCTTCCTATGAGATTTACAGCTTCTGAAAACCCATTGGAGGGTCAGCTATGAGTCACTTCTGACTCAAAGGCCCACAACAATACATGGAAAGGTACATTATGTACAATGGCAAATATTTTACTTACTTTGAATAGAAATTTTAGCTGTTTTGATTAAAGTACAAGACAGATTTAGGAACAGAGGGTACTGGTAATGTGGGAACTGCCTGCACTGTAAGTTGGGCCTTTTTTTGAGGGGATAAAATGAAACACTTCCCTTAAAATTAACTTGTACTTAAACTTGGTGCCCATCTTAAGTCAAATCACACCACAAATATGTAATAAACTTCAGTGTAATACATATTGGTAAAATGATGTTTAAATCCTGCTACTAATGGGGGGGGGGGGTGTTTATATTAGGTCCTCCCTAAGAACTTCATTCTCAGAAATTCTCCCAAGAAAACTCTTACTAATTGCAAAGATTTCAATCATTCTTTCCTCAAAATTAATGGAAGCCAATCCTTAAAAATCTAACTTCAGTAAGCAGTGATAGGGATTTCCTGGGTGGTACAGGTGGTTAACCATTAGATTACTACCTAAAAAGCAGGTAGGTCAAACTCACCCATGGCATTTCAGTAGTAGTACCTGGTGATCTTTGTTCAAGTGGTTCTGCTGATCTGGTTCCAAAAAGGTCACAGCTGTGAAAACTTGGTCAAGTAGTTCTATTCTGCACACAGGGGATCACCATATTGTTCAAAATGGCTTTCCTAGCCACTGACTTTGACTTTATCATGGGGCTGGGCAGGAATGTGTGAATAGGGTATATTAGCTTATTCACACAGCAATTGCCTAGCCTCATCATTGTTGTTGTTGTTGTTATGTGCCGTCGAGTCGCCTGTGACTCATAGCGACCCTATGTACAACAGCCCTAAACTCCGCTCTGTCCTGTGCCAATCGCACTGTCTCTGACACTCCCATCCCGATTATCCCAGTCACTGAATCAATCCACCTCACAGAGGGCCTTCCTCTCCTGCGCCGTCCCTCCACCCTCCCAAGCATGATGTCCCTCTCCAAGGACCGGTCTCTCCTCACTACATGTCCAAAGTAAGTTAGACGGAGCCTCAGAATCCTTGCCTCCAAGGAGCCACCCGGTTTAACCCTCTCCAGGACAAATCTATTTGTTTTCCTAGCAGTCCATGGTATTCTCAGTACTCTTCTCCAGCACCACAGCTCAAAGGCATCAGTTCTCCTTCTATCCTCCTTGGTCATTGTCCAACTCTCTGATGCATAACAGGTGATTGTGAAGACCATGGCCTGTATCAGATGCACCTTAGTCTCCAGAGAGACACCACTGCTCTTCAGCACTTGGGAGAGGACCCTAACAGCAGACTTTCCCATGGCAATGCGCCTTTTAATTTCCTGGCTGCTGGTGCCAAGACCGTTGACTATGGAGCCAAGCAAACTAAAGCTGTCCTCAATCTCAATCTCTTCACCATCCATCCTGATGCTGCCGATTGGTTCAGTGGTGAGAATCTTTGTCTTCTTGACATTGAGCCTCAATCCATATTGCAGGCTGCAGTCCTTGACACTCTGCAGCAGGTGCTTCAGTTCCTCCTCAGTTTCAGCAAGCAAGGTTGTGTCATCCGCATAACGCAGATTGTTGATAAATCGTCCACCAATCCTGACCCCACATTTCTCCTCATAGAGCCCAGCCTCCCGGATAATCTGTTCTGCATATAGGTTGAAGAGGTATGGAGATAGGATGCATCCCTGGCATACGCCCTTCCCAGTTTTGAACAATGCAGTGTTCCCTTGCTCTGTTCTGATGACTGCCTCCTGGTCCAAGTATAAGTTTCGTATTAGAACGATCAAGTGTTCTGGGATTCCCATTCTTCTCAGAGTCAGCCACAGTTTGTTATGATCTACACAGTCAAATGCCTTTGCATAGTCAATGAAGCACAGATAGACATTCCTCTGGTATTCCCTGCTTTCAGCCAAGATCCATCTAACATCAGCTACAATATCTCTAGTACCACGACCCCTTCTGAAACCAGCCTGGACTTCTGGTAGTTCTCTGTTGATGTGCTGTTCCAGTCGTTTTTGGATAATTTTCAGTAAAATCTTGCTTGCATGTGAAATCAGTGAAATTGTTCTGTAGTTTCCACATAGATTTTGGGAATCTCACCACCAGCAAAGAAGAAGCAGAGAATGCAGAGTGTGCATCCTTTGTGGCCAAAATTCCTGTACTGCTCAGATTGGTGCTTACAGGAGCAGCAGCAGAAGTGGCATCAGAGAACTAGAGACTCAACATGAAACAGAGCTGACCTTGGGATTGCTCCCCCACAGGACCAAAGCTAAGATCCTGTGCCCAAGTTTACTAGAGGACTGGGAGGAGAGCCACATTTGGCAGAACTAAGAGCTTTGGAACACCAGCCCAAAGCCATGAGGTTAAAGGTTGAGCTGCCTCGGGGCACATTTCAGAAGCAGCCTTGACTGAGTGATTGTATCCTGCTAATAACCAGAATTATAGTCTTTTGTCTTCCCTAATCATAAGCATGGTTCTGGTTCATTGGCATGCACTCTATGAGCTATTGTAATGGATTTTGGACCCAGTAGAGCAGTAAGATTGTGTTAGGATGAGTAGGAATGGGTGCAGGAGTGTGGGCGACATGTCTGACTTCATGGGAATTGGTTTTGTGTTGTAGTTGTTGTTTTAATGGAGACAGTCCCCCCATTGTGGAGATGGTAAAGGTCAGATATGGTCATCCCCACCATCCCTTGATCTTTTTTCAAAGTAGTTCTAGTCAGCACACATTGGGTCACCTTAAGCTGGAATTAATTTGAGGACAAATAACTACCAGGTGGTAGTAAGCCAATTATTCCTTATTGTGGAGTTGAATTAACTCATCATTGATTACTAAAGGAGTAAGTAGAGCTGTCCTATAGGGTTTCCAAGGCTATAAAATAAATGGAGGCAAACTGCTTCCTCTTTCTCCCATGGAGCAGCAAGTGGGCTTGAATCACTGATTTTTGTTTGTAACTGAGTACCTGAATCACTGCTGAAAGGCAACCTGGAAGCTGGGCAACATTCCACGCTAATGCATCTTTTGGGAGACATTCCAATCAGCCTGGTGTAAGTGGCTACAGCCAATCAGAAGAAAGCATGACCACCAGCCACATCCTACCTAACGTCCGCTATGACACAACCCACCTAAGGGTCCTGAGTAGCTCCATACACGGGAACGGGCAGGGTGCATCCAATCAGCATCCTCCACAGGAAGTTGACCAATGAATAGATCAACCTACTTCAAACATATCACCACCACCCTCTTACCCCCTGCATATAAAACCTTTGTGTAGCTTCCCCACTTGGGGACTGTCCATCCCCATACTGCCTTCCTCCAGCCTGGGGCTGCAGAACTTCGCCCAAGAGCTGATAACTTCATCTGATTCTCCGAAGCCTTTTTACCTCAAAACTGTATCTTCAGCAAAAGGAGTAGGGGAGCAGTCCATCCTGACCAACTAAAAACCTCACTGCCATCAAGCCAGTTCTAAATCACAATGATCTTGCATCAGGTTTCTGGGGCTTGGGTTTCAAGTGTATCTCACTTTGGATTATGCCACCAGAGCTCACTCAATCCTGACCAAGTGACATACATTATCACTGATATGTTAAGAATAATAAAAGACCGACTTTCAGTGGGGGTTTAGTCATTGATTTTCAATTCTTTGCACCACGTACATGCTCTTATTGCCTGACTTGAGCAGTTTAGTTGTTGATCAAGTTAAAACTGACTCACAGCTGACTCACCCTTGCCCCTCCTGTAGGTTTTCAGAGGCTATAAATGAAATGGGAAGAAACTGCCCATCTTTCTCCTATGGAGTAGCTAGTAGATTTGAACCATGTACGTTTGAGTTAACAGCACAACTCCTTACCCACTAGGCCACCAGAGCTCCTTGGAAGTTTAATTAGCACTTAGCTAACAGTGGAAAGCCTTTCACAAATAAGGTCCCCTCTGCCTCCTAAAAAAATTATTATAAAGTCGTAAAAGGACTAACTTGAAGCACACTTATAAAAAGGGATTTTTTTTTCATTGAAGTGGAACAAATCTTAGAGGAGTATATAGTATAGTAATTTTTTACATTTGGATATACTTGTGAAACCACTACCCAGTATCAATCAAGGTGTAAAAAGCTATCTGTTCCCAAAAGGGTCCCTAGTAGCATACTCACTTTCAAAGGTTTTTACTGATCAGAAACAAGGTGTTCTGAATACAATGCTCAATGAGAGAAATAGTAATTGGAGCATGTGACAGAGAAGCCATTCAAAAGCAAGTTTGTCCTTGAGCAAGCAATCAATATCCAAAATTAAATAAGAGCAGGATCTTCACAAAAACATGGTTCCCACCAGTATGTGAACGTAATAATATTCGCATACTGTGTGAAGGAGATTTGGCAAAACTCTTGCTCTCAAAGGCTTACTCCTGAAGGAGAAAGGACGGAAAACTGACATAGTCAATGAGAGCGAGCTAAAGAAAGTGCTTTTCTAGCCAAAATAGAAAAACAGATTCAGAGACAAGAAAATAACTTTTCAATCACAGTGATCAAGTCGAAACTGCACTTAGGAAATGCTGGCTGGTAGTCCTAGACTTACAATCACCCTGCCTCCTACCCATTTGCATCTTTCAATCTCCAAATGTTTTCCATTTTAGAGCTTTAGAATCCCAAGGAGGCAAAGAGGATAAGCTACAAAACATGTCTGGTTAAAGAAAACCCATTCTGGATGGCAGACAAACAGCAAGCCTGTAACAAAAGAATGAAAATCAGAATCACAAATTGGAAGTACTTACTATGGAGTCTCTGGTGGTGCAGCGAATGCACTCAGCTGCTAACCAAAATGCTGGCGGTTCAAATCCACCAGGAAGTGCCTCAGAAGACAGAAACCCATCAGCCAATAATATCTCTATGAAGGGCAGTTCTACTCTGAATAGGAGGTCAGCTCTACAAAACTGGGATTTTCTGTTTTGTTTTCATTATGCTTTGCACGAAATTTTCACATTCATTCTCCTCAGAAAGCCCAAGGGTAAGATTTATTCTTATCATTGTTTTACAAAATAGGAAACTGAGTTTGGAAAAGTCAAGCAGTTGCCCACAATGAGAAAGAGGGGCAAGAGTCAACCATACATTCGTATGATTCTAATACGTGTTTCCTCGACCTCCACTGTTAGTATTTCTTTATAATAAGTCTTCCCTGCCTGAACCACCTTCACACTGCTTCTCACCTTGCTTCCTGATGCTTCAGGAAAACCCAGCACCATGCAAAGACCTAGGCTTTAAACAGCTGCTTGGAATGTTATAGGAGAATCGTACGTGGGAGACTCCTTCTCATTTCTTAGGAAGTGCCCTTGTCCAATTGTCACCACCACTGTATCCAATCAATACTGACTTTAGTCCTAAATAAGTCAGCTATCCTCTTTTCAATAAAAGATGCCATTTGATTTTTCCAGGGGGTAGAGGTGAGACAGTAACAGTCCTATTTTGTTCAAGTCCTACTGAATACAAATATTAGTAAAAACAGAATCCCCTAAGCTCCAGAGGATTGGAAAAATGCAGTGTCATTCTGGTTGCATGCTGCCTGGTCAGGGGGCTGTAGAGAGATTACTGCTAGAAACACTGAGGAGTAAAGAAATCAGCCAGCAGTGCAGATGTTAAGCTTGCTGACACTGCCATACGCCTTCCTTCTCCCACCACACTGGGGAGTCACAGCTTGAAGAGTAGAGTCTCACAGCACTAGTAATGCCATGGTCCCAGCAGGTCCCATTATTCTACAGACTCATTCAGCTGGAGTCACTTTTCATAAAATACCCACAGCTTTGGCTCTAAGCCTCTATCTCGTGCCCCAGAAGTCTGCTGGCATCTACTAAAGGTCACTTACGCTTTCCTCCCTCCATCCTACTCCTTTTCTTCTTTCTCTTTTCCTCTTTTCCCTTTTTCCTACTTCTTCAGCTCTACCTTCTTCCCTTTCTCTTCACCAACCTCATTAAATGCTATTCTTGCCCATCAGTCTGCTTATCAACCCTACAAAGAAATGTGGAGCCTCCCATTCCTCTGAGCCCCTCTTATGTCAAAGAAAAGCCATACACCTCCCCACACTTTCTGCCCAGAAACAAGGTTGGATGTTAACATGTTAGATGAAAAAGGCCGGATTACCCAACAGCAAACCAAGTTCACGCTCAGGGAACAGGAAAGCAATTCTGTTAAAATAGTAGTTTTTGCAAAGAACTTCAAATGTAATGTTCCTAAAACATCAAAATAGCTAGGAATGTGCCTTTGCTAGATTTCTTTCTATTTTACACATACAACCATACGTGGTTTTACTGCACTTTTCTTTAGTGAGTCTCACAGATATGGTGTTTTCCACAAAGTGGAGATTTGTGTCAACTGTGCAGCAAGTAAGTCCATGGGCAAAATTTTTCTGACACCTTGTATTCATTGACTGTCTTTGTGTCACATTTTTGGCAACTCTCAAAATATTTCACACTTTTTCATAATAACAGACGATGTAATTATTGTTCAGTGCCGTTGAATCAAGTATGACTCATCGTGACCCTGTGAACAACAGATGGGAACCCTGTCCATTCTGTGCCACCCTCATGGTCTCCGATACCCTCAAGTCTATTGCTGCAGTCACTGTCATCTGGTTGAGGCTATTCCTCTCTTTTGTTGTCCCTCCACCTTCCCAAGCATGATATCCCTCTCTAAGGATAACCTCTCCTAGTAACACATCAATATGGTATAAACTTAACCTTCATAAATATTTGGAAACCAAAAAAATTCTTATTACTTGCTTTATTGTGATAGTCACTTTATTGCAGTGGTGTGTAACTGAACCCACAATCTGAGACCATGTTTGTGTGTATGTATGCATATGTGCATTTTTCTTTTTAATCACAAATTTGAAGGATAAGGGAGAACAGTGTTGAGAATTTCCATGTCTTCAGATAGGCCTGCAAGGGGTGCGGGGGAGAGGGTATCTGAATAAACAGAAACAGGGCCAAGGACGGTCCTTTACCTTTTCCATACGCTCAATCAGCCTGTCCAGCTCCCCAATTCTCTGGTCTTTCTCCTCTAGGCTGATCTCTGCCGTCCGCATCTTTTTATTGGCCTCTTCAATCGCTTTTAGAAAGCTATTGGTTTCTTCCTACAAAAGAAATACTCTCCTTAACATAGATAGTGTGTAAGCTGCTGATTAGGGTCCCACCAATTCTAGCCTTGCTCAAACATAATTGCAAAATTATGACTTTGAGTCCTAGGAATGTATCAAAGCATGAACTCAACATCCATGATTCTGGTTCTCATCTGTCAATAACGACACACTCTTGCTTTTTAATGGATCTGGTTATTTCCTCCCCCTTCAGCCTTGAGTTCTTATGTCTAAACGGTATAAAAACTGCCTGCAAATGTTACTTAGCCCTTAACTAAACACTTAGAGTACCACTGTATTTTCCAATATATAAAGTGTTAGGACTAGATATACAGTTCATCTTATAATTCACAGATCTTGCTTTCATATTGTAGTGTATCAACTCACCATTAAGAAGAAACCCCACTCAATCCTTCAATGCATTTATTAGGCTTGTAAGGATTATAAGACAAGGAGTCCCTATTTTCTAAAAATTTCTGATCTCCCAGACAAGCCAAAATGTGAAATACACTTCTAACTCTGATAACTGGTATAATAAAATTCTGTAGCACAAACAGAGAGAATGAGTGTTCCAAGGAAACCCACTTTTTTTTTAAAATAGTGATTTCAGTGGAAGGACAGATTTGTGAGAACTTTCGTAGCTGTGTGAATGAGCAAGGTCTCATTAGGTGCTATAAAGTCAGATCTGATTCAAAGCAACCCTACGTATGTTGTTGTTATGTACCATCAAGTCAGAACTAACCCATAGCTGACCCTCCAGCGGGTTTTCAGAGGCTGTTTAATCACATGGAAGGAGGCTGCCCATCCATCTCCCATAGAGCTGCTGGTGGATTTGAACCACATGTCTTCGGGATTGCAACATCAAATATTGTGAGGTCCTATGGCCCCTCACAATGGTAGAGACGTTTGAGCCCATTGTTGCAGGTATCATGTCAATCGTCTTAGGGAGAAGGTAGCATTTTGGGGAGCTTTAAAAAGCCCGAAGTTGGATCAAAGGTATGAAAAGAAACAATTCCCGGTAGAGAGGAGGGGCCGGAATGAGAAAGGGCATGGCTACAGGAAGGCCTAGGATCCGTCGTAAAGCTGAATGGTGAATGAATGGTCCAAAGTGGCTAGAGAAAAGAGTGTATTTAGAGAGACAGATTGAGAATTGTCTTAAGTTGGAAAGAAAATTAATAAAGTTAGAAATGAAGAAGAGAGGGAAGAGAATGAGCAAATAAATTCCTTTTCCTCCTCCATGTGAGAGTCCACTAACACATTCTAAAAAGAAACCCAACTATTTCACCAACAATAAGAGGAGTTACTTTGTGGTACAAGCCATTAGCATGCTCGCTTGTTAACAAACAACAACACAAGGTTTGAGTGTACCCAGAGATGGATTACAAGAAAGGTCTTGTGATCTACTTCCCAAAAATCAGCCACTGAAAGCCCTGTGAGACACTGTTCTACCCTGACACACATCAGGTTACCAAGAGTTAGAACTGACTAAGTGGCAAATGGGTGTCAATAATAATGAACGGAAACAGCCTGACTCTGTCTGCATCTGCGCCATACAGACCAGAAGAGCCTCCTTCTCGGCGCTGTGCCTCTGCTGCTCCTCATGCAGCTTTTCTTCATACTGGCTGTACAGCTTCCTGGTCATCTCTCTCATCACCTCGGCATTGGCTTCTTGGGACGATTCCACCTAAAAAGAAAAGCACTTCAGCTTTTTTTTTTCAGGTCCCAGGGGATTCAGAAGTCTTCATTCTGTATGTATCATACATGGACACACAGAGGCACTATAGCAAAAACACAGAACCGAATACAATTAAGGAGCAGGAATGATGGGAGAAGACAAGGGGGCAGGAGAGACAAACAGATGCACAATAAATTAAAAGTGGCACTTTATATTCATTTATTTGGCACTATCACAACAAAGATGTTATATATGAGTGACTTTTTTCTCCTTCAACAAATACTCTGCAAGGAAAAAAAAAGATGAATATATAGATTAAAAGTGACTTACTAAACATATTAATGGTAGTGGTATAATTCAGAAAATTATAGTAATAAAGATGGTACAACATCAAGAAGGGAGCTACAGGGGCTTAGGGTAAGAAACTACACTACCAACATCAAGGTATGTGGTTCGAGTCTACCAGCTGCTCCATGGGAGCAAGACGGGCAATCAATTCCCATGTGATTGACAGCCCCTGAAAACCCACTGGAGGGTCAGTTAAGGGTTGGTTCCAGTGCTATGATACACCACACCACAACATAAAGAATGCAATAAATGTCACAATTACATATGTAGAAATTGTTGAATTGGCAAATGGTTTAGTGTCTCTATTTTAAACACAGTAAAAAAGTTCTTTAAAAACAGCAATAAATTAATATATAAACAATTTTTTACTTAATGAGTAACAATAAGACAACTAGACTAATTTAAGCATTGTATTTTTATGCTAGCATAAATTCCTAATGATGTGAGATTTTTATCTTTTAGAAATGTGTGCTGAAACATGGATGAAAGCCTTCAGAATAACCAGCAAGAGAGTAGTGGGAAGTAGATGAGGATGTAGCTGAACCAATATTGATCCTGAATTGTGAATGTTGGAGCTGAGTGATGAGTACATGGAGGGTCACTGCATTATTCTCTCTAATTTTGTCAATACTGAGAATTTTCTCTATACTTTGTGAATACTTAGAACTTTTGTTATCTATTAATCAACATAGAAAGTGCAACGTTGGACTAGTGGATGGAATATTATGCTATCAAGCCCAAGGTGGATGATTTTAATCTGCGGCCCTCAGGCCTGGTTGAAATTGGTTTTTTGTGAAACATTCTTCTAGGTCGTGCATTGGTCTGTGCATTGCTGTACAGAGGTAACTCGTGGTTGCTGTGATGCTAAACACAGTGACACTGATGTGCCAAACGTGATAATGGTTACCCATGGTGGATAGTGTTTGGTGGAGCTTCCCGATTAAAATAAGCTTGGAAGCAGGAGTGGCATCCACTTCTGAAATGGCTTGCCTCCAGAAACTCTATGAACAGTGCTCAGGTCTCTGTACATAGGGTCACTATGAGTCATCTTCAACTCTACAGCACCTAATAACAACAACAACATTAAGGCAAATAAGTGAAGCAGGTTAGATTGTGACTCTGTCTATAAACGTAGTACACAATCACACTACAAGAAACATTCTGCTATGAAAGGTTGTTAGTAGAGGAGAGCTAAAGGTGGCTGCCCCACTTGGCAGGAGGGCTTGTCCCTCAGTGAGGAGAGAAGGAGACTTAAGAGACGTTTGGCAGGGAAGGACATCAAAGTCTTAATAAAATTTAATCTGGAAACAACCCAAATATTCACCAATAAGAAACCATATAAATAAATTCTAGCACATCTACACAACTATAACAATATAGCTACTAACAAGAACTTATTGATAGATTGTTATCTAAGATCTAAAAGTGGAAAAAAAGGAAGAAAAAAAAATTCCTCTGTTTACCCAGCAGGGATCTGGAAAGACAGGGCGGTGGACATACTTTGATGTTGATTAATTTTATAAAATATAATAAACGGGAGTGATTGTATGAAACACAATATGAATTAAAGAGTGTGAAAACAAGGTATACAAACTTTGTCAGCAAACCAGTATAAAATAAAAATATATTTTTAAAAAATCTGTTTAATATTATGTGTCTATTAAAAAGATAAATATATACAAAACAGTAAGTAGATGCATTTACTTTGCATACAGGCTGTCTTTTTTCTCCTGTGTACATGTACTACTTAAAAAAAAAAAGAATATTTTAAAAAACCAAAAACTAACCCAAAGAGACTTTTGAAAAGAAGTTCTCTATGAGTTGCACTGGCCAAGCCAATACGCACTTAAGGTTCCAGTTAAATTCAAATACGAAATCGAGACTCATCCTCGCCGTATCTTTGTGCATTTTCACTCTTGAGTGTGAAATGTTGCAATGCAGTTTGGGGAACACGATGTTAGGGGCTCTGGCTTGAGCAGGCCCAGCTTTGGGCCAGACCAGCAGAAGTGGACATGAGCATGGGCTGGTGACAGTTGATGTCTTCCTTCTGCCCAGGCCATTTGCTCACACATGGAACATTTGTGTTGTGAGGCTGATGGTTTATTTCTTTTGTTCGTTTCTTCCAGGTCTGTGCTCATTCGAGCCTGTGGAGTTGACTGGGCAAGCAATCTCTGGAGTGAGGTATTCTTCACCATCAATGGGTTACATAAAGTTCACTTCAAGGACTTAACAGAAAGTCTCTGCAGATGCCCTCTAAATGTCCCTTCTCAGCAGCGGGCAAGAAGCCACAAACAGAAAATCTTAACCAGAGATATCTCCAATTATCCAAGAAAGCCTCATTGTTCCCGTACTCCACTTCTTCAGCAGATATATATCTCTAGAATGGACTCAGCCCCTAAAGTCTTTTTTTTTTCTCTACAGCTTGGTCATGGGAAATACCCCGAGAACTCTATAACTGATTGTGTTTTATTTAGAGGCAGGGGAATAATATTTAGGAAAGATTAAGAAAAACCCTTTAATCCTATTGTTCAGGATGAAAACAAGCATTAGCGTCTAAAACAGGCAACTGCAGTGAGACTTGGGCTATATGGGAGCAGCCAGACTCCTAAACTGCCTAAGAATGTTCCCAGACGATGATGCCACACTAACCCTGAAATAGATAGGCCTGCACAAGCAGACACATACAGAAGACATGTAATAAATATTTATGGAGAGAATGGATAAAGCTCCTAAACTCAAGGAAAGACAAAAACAGTGATTTCTGACTTACCTGATAACCACCTCCCTCCTCTTTTATTGAAACGAGAGCTGAGAAGAGCAGATCTACTCTCTCTCTCTGGTCTCTCTTCCCAGGGTGACTGTGTTTGTACCAGTGGATTTTGTACGGCAGGCTGTTGTTGTTGTGTGCCATGGAGTTGGAACCGACTCATAGCTGACCCTCCAACAAGTTTTCAGAGGCAGTATGCATCTCCATGAGGGTCATGTATGGAACCTTTGGTTGTTTAGGGTGTGGGGGAGGTTCCCGTCCACAAGTGGTTAAACAAAGGTTAATTGATGTTAGGATGAATATTCTTTAAAGTGGTACAGCAATGGCCTATCTATTTATTGTTCTGAAGTAATTTGGAGTCGTGATGCTGAACACTGTGCCATAGGTGTGTCAAACACCATAATGGTTACCCATCATGGGCAGTGTTTATGAAGCTCCCAGATTAATTCAGGTTTGGAAGCAGGAGAGTCACCCACTCCCTAAACCATATGACTTTGGAAAGTCTATGAAGATAGAGAAACTATTATAGTTATAGAACAGGGTTCAGGTCTTTTTTTCATAGAGTCACTGTGAGTCATACTAAACTCAACCACAGATAACAACAAGAACAGATGAAAGGGAGGCTTGGGGAAGCAGTTATGCTCTGAAAGGTGGGCTCTTTTATTTTGGTTGAGGGTCATGCGGAATGTTTAGTTGTTTTTTATTTAAGCCTCTTGATTAGAGTCAACACCACCTCCTGGAGGACCTTCGTATTTAAAAGTCAGTTAGGTACTCAGGCCTAGTGTAATTTTAGTTTAGAGGAACATTCTTCTCAGTGGTGCAGCACTGATCTGTCAATTTGCTGTACTAAGGTAACCTGGAGTGGCTATGATGCGGAACTCTGTGCCACTGGGGTGTCAAATGCCACTGTGGTCATCCATGGTAGACAGTGTTTGGTGAGGCTCCCAGATTAAGACATGTTTAGAAGCAGGAGTGGCATTTACTTACTTCCTAAATAATATGCCTCTGGAAACTCTATGAACTTTGAGAAACAATGATAGTCACAGAAAGATTTCAGGTCTTTTGTTCTTAGGGTTGCTATGAGTCGTGCTCGACTTGTAGGCAATCAACACAACAACATGTCACAGGGGAGGAGACTGCCCATTTTTCTCCCATGGAGCATGGTGGATTCAAACTGCACATCTTTGGATTGGCAGTACAACTCCTCTCCTCACTACTAGGCCACGAGGGCATATTGTAGTTATTTGTTGTTGTGTACCATCGAGTCAGAACTAACCCACAGCTCACCCTCCAGCAGGTTTTCAGAGGCACTCATAACATGAAAGGAGACTGCTCATCCATCTGAATGCCTTCAGGATTGCAGTACAGTTTCTTACCACTAGGCCAAATACTGAAGAGGGATCAAATACGGAAGCCGGGTGATGAAGAGTGGCAGCCCCCTTCCCTCCACTACCCACCCTGGAAGCTGTCCATAGATAGGAGGATGATATAATCTCAGCTCGTTTCTCCAATAAAAGTATTAATAGCACCATTTTTCCCTCTCACATTCCAGTTTAAACAATAAATTATACAAAAACATTACACATAAAGTACCCTCATCCTGGAGGCTAACTTAAGGCTGTAATAAACCCAATTTGAAAGCCACAAATTCAGAAAAGAAATTAACTAGTTCAAGAAATAATTTGTTGAACACTTTCTAAGAGTCAATCATGACTATGCTCCTGCTACTGGTCAGAAAATATATTCATGTTTCCAATTTGGAAGGAGCATTCACATGCCAGGGCACTAGATAAAGAACAGGCCAGCATGGAGGGTAAGAGATGCCCAGAATCCTTACCACTTGGCACTTGTCTTCCTGAGAAGAGGCCAGTGCCCACATACCAGCAAACCGTGTGCCCATTGTTCTTCATTGTCACTTCAGCTGGGGAAACGAGCTGGGATTTATGGTCCTCCTCCAGGTAGTTGGGACCTCAGAGGAAACCTAAACAGCTAAGGGGCAGATCACTAAAGCATCTAAAGCCATAGACCCATGAGGTTTCAACTGCTTTCTCAATAAGCTAACAGCACTGCTCCAATGACTGTATGAACAGCCTATATAGCAGCTCTAGGTCAAGGAAGAACACTGAAAGAGGTCTGAATGGGCACCCACAGTCTGGACTGACAACAGTAATCACAGTAACTTCTTCAATGTCTTCAAGCCAAGTCCTGCAAGGTTGGCCACATACACAAAAAAAGGTATGAGAATTCAAAGAAGATGAAAATGGAGAAAGGGAAACAGGAGAGTAGAAGCGGGGATTGGGGGGAGTGGGCAGTGTGGGGAAGAAGAGGGAGGCTAAAGGGAAATCTGGACTCATGGACTTTACCTTCATTTTCAGCAGCTGGTTTTCCACTTGCGTGATCTCCAGCTGCCTCTGCTTCTCCCTCAGCTTGTCCATGGAGGCTTCGTATGTCTTCTGCAGATTTCTGATTTGATCCTTAATGTTGCTGTTTTCCAGAGTAACATCAACAAGTGTTTTCTGTTGGAATAAAAGTAGAACAGAACCAAATGATGTAGGAAAATATGGCAAGAGTCATGGTGCAAGGAGCACTCTTTGTCATTTGTCATTGAGGTGTCTGTCAGATCACAGCCACTGCCTACCTGAGACCCCAGTGCTGTAGGAACTGAAGGCCTCCCACACTGTGCAAGGGGCCTGTCACACTGCAGTGAGGTGGCCCAGCAAGCCTTTCCCCACAACTATGGCCAACACTGCTTGCTGCCACTTAGGACTGGAGAAAATGGATTAAAGTGGGACCTTCCCAAGGAAAAGTATTCATAATACGTCACTTCACTTGGACAAAAAAAGAGTTCATAACAATTCCACTTAGGGGGTAAAAAGGTGTAAGCATATGTTCAAGTATGTATTTATACTTGGGCAGGGTAAACACTAGGAGAAAATATACCAAAATCCAAATAATGCTTAAAACCAGAAAAATTCATTTTGTAGAATGAAGGTAGCCCCCTTTTTTCTTAGAGGCCTGTAACTTCTATGTCTATAGGCTATTTAGCAGATAGGCTCAATGTGGCTGAAGTTATTCCAATACCTGCAGGCAGAGGAGGACAGAAAAAAGCACCCAAGAGGAGCACTTATGACTTAGACAAGTCCTGGCAAAAGCCTGTTGATTATTGCTGAACACCACCCGCTAGAACAAAAATGTTTACATTTATATTAAAGCTGCTTGCTGCTTCAGTTTCTACTTGACTGACTCTCTTTACAGAGAAACAACTCTCAGATACCCCATAATTCCCACTCCTAGACATTGGGTAACAGGTACCATCGCTGCAAGTCTACAACTTTAAATTAGAAGATTCCGAAATCCTAATGTTGGACACATTTTCTTTGTCCTCTCTGTGAATAACCAGTCTCTGAAGCTTCCCCAGCTTCTTAGCCTCCACTCTGGACTCACCAACTTCTCATTCCTAAACCTACTTGAATCAGAAGATAGAATTCTGAATGATAATAACTAAAGAGTTTGTTGTTGCTGTTAAATGCCATCAAGTCAGGTATGACTTATAGCAACCCTAGGAACAAAAGATCTGAACCTTGTTCTATAACTATCACTGTTTTTCTAAAGTTCATAGAATTTCTAAAGGCCTGCTATTAAATAAGTGGAAGCCAATCATGCTTCCAAGCCTGTCTTAATCTGGAAGCTCTACCAAATCTTGTCTACTACCATGGGTAATCAATATGGCATTTGACACACCACAGGCACAACCCAAATTATCTTAGTACAGCAAACTGACAAAACAAGTGCTATACCACTTAGAACAAAGAGCCCAAGGGCCTAACTGACTTTTAAACACAAAGGCCTACCCACCAGGTCCTGGTTGACTTAAACAAGAGACTTCCAGCTTCCAGCCCATAGCTGACTGTTAGACTAATACTTTACAATAATATTTTAAAAAGAAAATATTTTAATCTTTTAAAAAATTTGTTTTATAAGGAACTTGCAAAACAAATCCACTGACAGTCTTTCCTAAAAGAGTTTTTAGTTATCAGACAAATATTACCCTTAGCTCTGCTTGTATAAACCCTTCTATGCACCCAAATAATTTCATTGGAATTTTTGTATTGCCAAGTTTCTAACCCAAACCAAAACTTGATCTGAAGCCACTTAGAAACATAGAATTACTAACCATTTTCCCTTCAAGAGGCTTTAGTACCACCTACCCAAAACACTCTCACTCCAAGCCCCATCAGCTCTACATACATATTTTCTCTTTAAGAACATACAATCTAGACCAAGAGAACAAGCTTCTTTTAGTTTGGACTTGGCCACTAGTTGGACACCTTAGTTGAAGTCATTTCTCTTTCTTGACTTCAGTCTCTCTATCGATAAAATGAAAGCACTAAGATTACTCATCTCAATAGTTCTCTCTAGTTCAGGCTTCCTGTAACTTCATACCAAGGGCCTGGTCTCACTAATAGCAATGAAAGTGAGGTGGAATGGAATTGGGACACTGCATAAGTAAGAAGGAAACTACCTTCAGACTCCTTTGAGTTTTCAAGCTATGCGATGGTGCCTTTTAAAAAAGTTTGATCTTTTAGTCAAAAAAAGGTTTTTTGGCAGCCTGAGAATAAGAAACTGGAGCAGTAACTAGCAGTTTGCTGAGGCATATGGGTTAAGAGCTGACCTTGTCTGAAAGCAGATGAAAATTGGTTAACCAACTTTTTTTCTTCTTTTCATCTTAACCATAGTTGGGTTAAGATGAAAAAAAATACAGAAGGGAAGAAAGGGGAGTCTTGGAATGTTTGCTGCTAGCAGGAGGAGAGAAAACAAAGTTGTGCCGAGAAATCTGGAAGATAACTACTTGGCCAACTGACTGGGAGAGATCCATATTTATTCCCATTTCAAAAAAAAAGGTGACATCACAGAGTGTGGAAATTATCAAATTATATCACGAATATCACACACTAGCAAAATCCTGCTGAAGATTATCCAGAAAACACTTGAACAGTACATTGACAGAGTACTACCAGAAATATAAGCTGGGTTTAGAAGAGGTCATGGCACTAGGGACATTACTGCCAATGTCATTTGGATATTAGCAAAAAGCAGAGAATATCAAAGGATGTCTATCTGTGTTTCATTGACTATGCAAAGGCATTTGACTGTGTGGATCACAATAAATTGTGGCTAACCTTGAGGAAAATGTGAATCTCAGAACACTTGATCATGCTTATATGAAACCTAAACTTGGACCAAGAAGGAGTTCTCAAAACAGAGCAAGAAAACACTGCATGGCTCAAAATCAGAAAAGGAGTGTGTCAGGGATGCATCCTGTCCCCTTACCTTTTCAACTGTATGCAGAACAGATCATTCAGGAGGCAGGGTTTTATGAGGAGGATTGTGGCATCAAGATTGGAGGAAGACACATTAACAACCTATGATATGCATATGACACAATCTTGCTTGCTGAAACTGAAGAAAACCTGAAGCACTTTCTGCATAAAGTCAAGGACTGTAGTCTTCATATGGATTGAAGCTTAACATCAACAGGACCTAAAGATTCTCTCCACTGGTCCAATTGGCAGCATCATAATAGATGGAGAAGAGATTGAGGTGGTTAGCAATTACAGCTTGTTTGGACCCACAATCACACTCTTAATACCAGCAGTCAGGAAATCAAAAGAGGAAATTGCATTGCGAAAATCCACTGTCATGGACCTCTCCAGAGTGCTGAAGAGCAACAATGTCAGTTGAGATACAAAGGTGCGCCTAATCCAGGCCATGGTCTTCTCAATTACTTATTATGCTTCAGAAAGATGGACAATGACTAAGGATGACAAAAGAAGAATAGATGCCTTCGAGTTGTGATGCTGGAGAAGAGTCTTGAACATTCCATGGACTGCCAAGAAAACAAATTGGTCTGTCTTAGAGAAGGTGAAACCAAGTCTCTCCTTGGAGGCTAGGATTTTAAAGCTCCACCTTACTTACTATGTGGCCAGGAGAGATTGGTGCTTGGAGAAGGACATCATGCTCAGAAGAGTGGACCGACAGCGCAGGAGAGAAAGACCCCATATGAGATGGATTGATATAGTAACTGGGTCAGTGGGGATTGGTGTGTCAGAATTAGTGAAACTGGCTCAGGACAGGGAAAGATTCAGAGCTGCTGAACATAAGGTCACTATGTATGGCAGGCGACTCAACCAATTATATTCTATGACAGATCTGGAATCAGGAATGGCATCCACTTCCTAAACAACATGCCTCTGGAAACTATGAACTTTGATAGTTGTAGAGGGGCTTCAGGCCTTTTGTTCATAGGGTCACTATGAATCATGCTTGACTCGAAGGCAATCAACAACAACATAGGACATCATGCGTGGAAAGGTAAAGGTTCAGAACAAGAGAGGAAGACCCTCGGCAAGATGGATTGACACAGGGACTATAGCAATGGGGTCAAGTGTGTGAAAGATTTTAAAATTTAATCAGGACAGGGCAAGGTTCAGAGCCATTGTTCACAAAGTTGCTATAAGTCAAAGTCGACACATAACAACAAGAAGAGAATAAATCAGAGCCCAAGGTGGAGCTTGGCCTGAGACCAGGAAAAAGGGTGCATACAGTAAGGCAAGCCAGGAAAAGGGTGGGACTCAGACATTCCAAAATCAGAAATGGGCATCTGGGATAAACCTAAACACAAGGCCCACTAAGACCCACTGTTGGATGGTGGTATAATTCTGTTGCTGGCATAACTTCCATATCAGCTATTATTAGAGAACACTAGGTTCCAAGGGAAGTAGATAAATCCCAACATGGAATTGTGTTTGCTTATCTAATAAAATATTTATATTCAGTCCAAAAGGATTTGAACTAGCTTGTGAGTCCTTTAGAAGAAGGGTAAGATGATAAGAGCCAAATAACAAAGCTGGAGGCAGGGCAGAGATTGTCATATATTTGGAACTTACGGTCATGAGACACTGTTACCAGGCAAACACTATGTTCTCAATATTTTCAAATTCATTTGTACGTTAGAAGGAGATTTAATTGGGAAAGTGAATGAGTAGGGTCTGGGTAGCTGTCCATTTTCACTGAGTCAACCTACAGGATAGAACAGGGATTCCCCCCACCCCCAACACTTTAACTTTTATGGAAGTAGGTTGCCTCATCTTTCTCCTATGGGGTTTCTGGTGGCTTCAAACCTCCCACCTTTCAGTTGCAGTGAACACTTAATCATTGTACCACCAGGATTCCTTATTTGAGTAGCTAGCTCCTTGCAAACTAAAGGAATAACAAGAACAAGTCTCTTTAAATGGACTGACAACACACAGCTTCACAAATTTCATTCAGCAGCTCTTTTGTTTCTCCAGCTGGTGCCAACAAGATAGTCTGAAATGTACAATATTCTTTCTAATGCACAATACTTTGCAAATGAAGAAAAAGACTTATTAGCCTTTGAAAGTCATCATCCAAGAATGAGCAAAGATGGTCTTATCTTTCTGTGATTGGGTGGAACATTATGCAACACTGAGGCGACTTGCAGAAGTGAATGATACTCATGCTGGACACCGATACGTCACTCTGGTGTCTGACAGGCTGAGTGACACCTCTAGCACTGAGTTCAGAATCTAAATGTTCACTTTAACGAGGGTAAGAAAAGATCCAACACAAGGGTTTAGTCTCAGTTTTGAAATGGTTCTTTCAACTCCCTTCGCCACCTTCTTGGCACAGTCTTTAATGTGGCTGCCCTCAAAGATCCTGATCAATGACAGTGGGCTTCACTAGTCTATAAAAAGCAAGCCTTGGTCTTCGTGAAATCTAGTTTCATCAACACAGTCTAACAGTGAGCAGAGGAATACCTGTAAACCAATGGAGTCTGATGCCAAAGCAGAGTTCATGGCATTGAAACTATCCAAGGCTGATGACTGTGTTTCGATGTGATGCTCCAAGTAGTCCTGCTGAGCATGTGAAACCTGGGCGGATTAAGAAGAGAGTTATACAAACCAATACATACACACACAACAATCTTCAGATAGGTTGGAATTTACCTCTGGTAATACAATGTTTACTTCAACAATATTTCAAGTAAGGCTTTAAATTATCACTATCTGTATGACCCAGAGAACAGACTGTAATACTTAATCTTGGGTAACATTTACATGTCTATCCACATAGCCTCAACTAATCCTCTGTTCTTTATTAGGGAGGATACAGGATCAGAGCACTTAAGCAATGTGTTCATGTTGTTGTTGTTGTTGTGTACCAACCGTAAAGTGGGAATTGACCCATAGCTGACCCTCCAGCGGGTTTTCAGAGGCAGTTAATCGCAGGTGAGGAGATTGCCCATCCTTCTCCCACAGAGCACCTTCAGGATGGCAGCACAGCTTCTTGTCACTAGGCCACCAGAGCTCCCAAAGTTGTTCTTAGTAAAAAAACAGTTTAGCTAGACCTGGGAAGCTTATTGGAGTAACCTCTTACACTATCTTGTTCTTTCTACTTGGAGAAAATAGAAAGCATATTCTTTGTTTTGCTGTTGTTCTTGTTTGGGGTGTATGTACATAACATGTTTGAGGCAAGAAAAATCAAATATTTTGGTTTTCAGTTGATTCATGACTGTATGTATATATTTATATTCATCAGTTTCAACTTTGATTTGCCCTTGAACCCTTTATACTGCCATTTGTCAATACTTGCTATCATAGCAGGTACAACTCATGTTATGGAAGTTAGTGATAAAAGGATTATATATTAGAAGCATTTATGAGGAAGTAAGATTGAAGGGAAATACCTTTGCTTAGTTATTCTGATTTTGAACAGGTAGCTTTCAACCAGGTAGATATTACAGGGGAGCTGTATAATGTAACGACAGGTTTCCAAATCCAGCATCATCATTTACTAGCTATATAGCCTAAACAAATGACATTCCCTTTATGACTTTCTACCTGAAAAAATTAAAGTATGATAGCATATAAAGTCAATTTCCGTTTTCTTTCCCCTGGCTTCCCAGGAAGCATGTCCTGTTCCAGCTTGCTCGGCGGCTTCCTGAGGCTCTCTTGGTTCTCAGAGTTCCACTCTGAGTTCATCTCTCAACCCTTGACCTTATTTCTACTGTCACCCTGCCTGATTATACCGTGTCTTTAAGATTTACCTCAAGGACGCCCTCTGATAACTCACTCTCCATCTCATCCAGGCAGCCCTGAGTACTTAGTGTTGATATCGCACAGTTGAACAACTTAACACTTGTTTGTATAATATCTTGAATGTCTTGTGCCTGTTACTCTTAAGCCACCATGATGCTTCTTTTGTAAAAATACCCAATGAAGTATTATACACAGTTAGCATTTGGAAGTTTACTTCCCAATTGGTATTCCCTGCTGTGGACTATTTACCAACGTAATTCTGACAGTATAGGTGGGTATTGTGTAGTCAGAAGGAAAAAACAAATCTCAGATTTGCCTTGCTCATAGAATTTCCTCCTTTAGATACATTTATCTATATACAGTCCTATTCTATACATTTAGGGAGTACTGGTGGTCTAGTGGTAAGAAGCTGCGCTGCCAACCCAAAGGCATGGCTTGAAAGATGGGTAATTTCCTCCTGTGCAATTTAAAGCCTCTGAAAACTCACTGAAGAGTCAGCTATACAAGTTGGTTCCGACTCGACGACACATGGCAGTAACAACATATACGATATATCTTTTCCTTCATAAAGAAAGAGATCCAAGCTAAAAAAATGCCTAAAAGAACAATGACGTTGATAATAGTTGGCTATAGACTTCATACTACGCACTGGAGGGGCCTGGGTGGTGCTTGTTCAGGGATGTGTCCATATGAAAGAACTTCAGGCATCATTAATTCTGGCTTCAGTGTGAAATACAGTACAAGGTAAGAAGAGACTGTAGGCAGAGGCAGGGCTCCTGCAGTGTTTCTAGTCCCAGGAAATGAGGGTGTTCAGGAGATGGCAATAGGAAAGCAAAGGACTGCCTTATTTACATATGTCTTGCAAACCCAATCTTCTTTGATTACAGTGGTGACAGAATGAACTGCACTAAGTATGTAAGAATTTCACAAGTCTCTTCCTACCTGTCAGTAATTATGTGACTTAGTGGGTCTGTTTACGTGCCTCCAACCTTATAATCAAGGCGTTTTACTCAAGCAGATAATCTCATAGCCTAGTCACAAACTAAATACAAGTGCATGACTGTTGTAACTGTTTTTTCCTATAGATACTATCTCTTCCTGAAGGCATGTGTACATATGTCTTTTAACTTCAAAACTATAAACAAATACCAAAGCAGTTTTCCCCAGAAGCATCAGTTTCATTAAACTAGAGGAAATTTGTATTTTAAAAAAACTTTCCAATGTGTAATAAGGATCAAATGTTAACAAGTATAAAGGGTAGACTGGGGAATAAATCTTCCACTGTTGTCCCATTTTCTCGGTTATCATCCCACCCACTCACACCCTCCCAATTAGCTACTACTGTTAATTTTCTTAATTATCCTTCCAGTAATTTTTAGTGCCCACACAAGACAATTTAGATAAATTTTCCCCTCAGGTTTTAACAAACTACAGCATGGGATATACAGTCTTTTTGCTTTTTTTCACATTTTATAACTTGAAAATTTATACAAGTCTCTTCTAAAGTACTTACTCTCTCTCTATTTCTTTCCCACTATAGATATTTTTAATGTAGATATAACACAATTTCTCTAACTGGCTCCTTTGATATTTAGATTTCTAATGTTTCATTAGTATATACAATACTGCAAAAGATAACTTTATACATATGAAGTTCCCATGTATGACAGTTAACTGTAGAATAAACAGAATTACAGAGTCAAAACCATAGACATTTCTAATTTTGATAGATGCTGGCAAATCTCATCCTTAGAGTAACAATCATTTACATTCCCTCTCATATTTGGGCTTTCCAGATATATCATCAAATCACTTCTATATAGTAGTTTTATACGTACCTGTCCAATTTTGTTGCTGCTGTTGTATACCATAGAGTCAGAACCAAACCATAGCTGACCCTCCAGAGGGTTTTCAGAAGCAGTTAACTACATGGGAGGCAACTGCAATTGCCCATCTTTCTTCCACTGAGCAGCTGGTAGACTCTAACCATGTGCCTCTGGGATTGCAACTCAGCTTCTTGCCACTAGGCCACCAGAGCTCCCAATTTTATATACCTCTAAATTTCTTTCTATCATCTAACAGCATTGGATTGTATCTCATGTAGCATGTTAACGAATAATGATGATAGTTGGATTCCTTTTCCTGTTTTTTACTTTAGTGAGAAAGTTGCTAATGTAAACAAGACAATTTCTGCTTCAAAAATTGCCCTTTAAATCATAAACTTCATTCTATGATAAAGTTCTCTCTGTTTATTTAAAATGTTTCAGTCATAAAGAACATTACACATCAAATAGTTTTATACATTAGTCACTTAAAGGAAGTTCTAAGCTCTATTATCCTTCTAATTTCCAAGTCCTTGAAATAATTACTTACTGATAGTTCCTGAGTGAGTTGTCGAATCTTCTGTCTCATTTCATCATAGTCTCCAAACATTCGTTTCCTTACTTTTTCCAGAGTGGCTCTTACCTATATAACCACAAATATGCTAGTTAGAGATAAAGCTATATTTCCTGTGAGATTTCTAAAACCTTAACGAAAGAGAGAGACACACATACACATACATTCATAAAAATAGAATGATTTACATGGTTCCAATCCACCAGATGCTCTGCTGGAGAAGGAGGGGGCAATCTCCTCCTGTACCAGTCAGATCTGATTTGACAGTACACGTAAAAATAATACAATAAAAATAAAATTTAAAAAATAGAATCATTTAGAAAGTTAAGGGAAAGATCACTCTTGTCACTGAGTTAGACACCAAGAGAATTTGAATTTATTAATTCTTCACTTTCCTAATAACAAACTCTAACCAAAATAAAAAGTTTATTGAAATTCTCCTATAACTGTCAAACTACATATAGGCAAAGTGCTCCTATTTCCTCACATTATTTTTGCTTTTATTTATATTTTATTTTATTTATTTTATTAGTTTTAATGAACATTTACAGAGATTTTGGATGTCCATTCATTCATTGTTGCATTTTTTTCTCTACCCTCCCTCCGTCACATATTTTTTACAAGTTTTTAACAAGCTAACTCTACAAACACATGGTCAAGGGGTCTAAAGTATAAAAAGAACTACCTCTCTAATTTTTCCTATCTCTGTTCTATTTGCCAAGAGCGAGTATACATCTAGCCTGTAAAGCAGAAAAGAAAAAGCCTATAAACCTGAAAGTCAATTCCTTAATAATCACCAATCAATACAAGGAATTAATATAACCAAAGTAAGGTAATTCTCCTCATATGTGGAGTCAAGACTGGTGGAAGATCTATCAACAATCTGTGTTATGCAGATGACAGAACCCTGCTTGCTGAAACTGAGGAGAACCTTGAAGCGCTTGCTGCACAGGGTAAAGGACTGCAGCCTCCAATATGGATTGAGGCTCAATGTCAAGAAGACAAAGATTCTCACCACTGAACCAATTGGCAGCATCAGGATGGATGGTGAAGAGATTGAGCTTTAGTTTTCTTAGCTCCACAGTCAACACTCTCAGCACCAGTAGCCAGGAAATTAAAAGACGTATTGCAATGGGAAAGTCTGCTGTTAGGGACCTCTCCAAAGTAATGAAGAGAAATGGTGTCTCTCTGGAGACTAAGGTGTGTCTGGTACAGGTCATGGTCTTTGCAATCACTTGTTATGCATCAGAGAGTTGGACAGTGACTCAGGAGGATAGAAGGAGAATTGATGCCTTTGCGCTGTGGTGCTGGAGAAGAGTACTGAGGGTACCATGGACTGCTAGGAAAACAAACAGATTCATCCTGGAAAGGGTCAAACTGGCGGCTCCTTGGAGGCAAGGATTCTGAGGCTCCGTCTAACATACTTCTGACATGTTGTAGAGGAGAGACCAGTCCTTGCAGAAGGACATCATGCCTGGGAGAGTGGAGGGACAGCACAGGAGGGGAAAGCCCTCTATGAGGTGGATTGATTCAGTGACTGGGATAATTGGGATGGGTGTATCGGAGACAGTGAGACTGACACAGGACAGAGCAGAGTTTAGGGCTGTTGTACATAGGATCGTTATGAGTCGCAAGCGACTTGATGGCACATAATAATAACAAGGTAATTCTCCCAAAACACTTGTTTATACACCACACAACTTTCTATATGTATTACCACCAAAACTAATGGGGTCTTACCAAAGTTAAAAACACCTTATAATCTCTGTCTTCTTCCTTTAACCCATATCTTTGGAAATGTCCATGGATGTTTAAATGGGATAGGAAATGTCAAGTAATTCCCCTGAAGAGATACTGGAATTTCTATATAAACCCACTCTGATCAAGTCAACCCTCACTCTTGGTGACACTTATGGGGTAATAGGGGCTTAGAGAAAGCAGTTTGGTTTGGAAGACATGTATGTACGGAATAGTCTGTGAAGACTTGACTTGAAGCTTTATTTTCCAGTAAAGCACACTATTAAATTAGATTTCAAATTCATTAGAGGTAGCTGGGAGGGAGAATATTGATGAGAGATGGAGGATGAAGGGAAGATTAAAATTCAAGCCCTTCCCAGGTGAATTGCAACAATAGACTGAACTTTGCCATTCGCTAGAAACATTTTAGGGGAACAAGGCAAAAACAAAACAAAATTAAAAAACAGCTCTTCATTCCGGGCAGGCAAAATGACTTCCATCTGTGGCCCTTAGCTGCCTATTGCTCAGTGGGTGAAATGCTGAGCTGGGTGTCACTTCCCCAGCAAACACTGACAAGTCAGTCAGCGGGGCTAGAGTCACACAGAGGGAGGGAACCAAACAGAGCCATAAACACACACACTCAGGAAGGCTCGCACTAGAGACTGGCTTAATGCCTGGTGATGAAAGGTGAGAACTCAAAATTAATAATTTTAAATTGTAGATCATCGTGGAGGTGGGAATTGTAGGGTAGAACCACCCTCGCAACCTCTGCACATGTCATCCATGGCTCTTAATCAGTCTGAACCTGCTGTTTTTGTCTTGGGAAATCTGTAATACTTGAGTCTGCTTAGAATGTTTACCACTGAAGCAATACCATGGTATTTGAGGCATATACATGAGGACCAGCTAAGCATATTCATGAGAAAAATACAAGAGACTTAGAAAGTTTGAGCTGCTCTTACACCGGAAAATTAGGGTTGAAATACTCAGATTGGTTAAAATTTACTTTATGGGAGAAAATGAGGAGTTGAGGCTGGTAGTTATCACATATGTTCTGTGTGCATGCGCGCATGTGTGTGTATGCGCCCATAGATTTTCTGGCTTTCCATTTCCTCTATTAGATATTTCTTATTTCTAAAATTCAGTAAGAAACGTACTTCATAAAAACTCATACTAACATGGCTTTGTGTCTTATCTACAAACACATCACATAAAATGGCTCACAGAGCTTGAGGCTTTGCCTTTACTTGAGGAATCTTTACAAGAAAAAAGAAACCCAGAAAGGCAAATTACATCCCAGGCCAAACAAAAGCAATGACACACTCTTGAGCAGTTATACATTGAACCCAGTCCACAGGGTCACAGGCCTGAGTGTCTTCCACTGCTCCCCCAGCCCATGATTCTTATGAGACAGTTTGTTTCTAACCCACAGATCAGTGTTTGGGCCCCATCAATGTCAGAGAAGTTATTTTTCTTTTTTATCTAACTATGGGTCTTGGTTAGTGCAAAAAAATTCATCAATCACTCTAGAAAAACAATGAACAGAATGAAAAGAATGGAAACAGATAAGTAATAAAGGATGGATGGATTGAAAGACAGGAACAAAAGTTTATTAGAAGACAATACTATAAAATTTTAACTATTTAGGATAAATTTATGTATGGTTGACTTTGCTTCTTGCTTAATGCATTTCCACATTTTCCACATTTTCTCAAAAGAGAATGCAGGCAAAATGGTAAGAAATTAAATATTAATACAAAAAAAGAACAGCTCTGATCATTTGTGCTGTATACTATCTATTGAGATTGACTTCTTAGAATCTGAACCATCCACGGTCTTCCCCCTTCCTTGCCAGTCATGGTCCTGGGAATGGCTAAGTGATCAAGTCCCGGGCAAGGCAACATGAGGGGAAGGCTAACAGAGGGACTCTAGAAAGAATACAGAGAAGATTAGTCTTTTTCTTCCTTCAAACTTTGTCACATTTTCAGATTATGACACTCCTGAGTAAAGAGCAAAGGGAAGCTCAGACATGTGGAAATGAAGCCCCAAACTGCCCTGCCTGAAGCCCATCTACCTTGAGATTTATGCCTACATGAGATAAATGCCTTTTTTTTTTACTAATTAAGCTTGTTTTAGCGAGCTTTTCTGTTACTTGATGGCAAAATCATTCAAACTTGTGCAGGTTACTTTAGGTGTACAATGGAATAAGGGAAACTACTTAGACACTCCCATTCCTTACCCAGTAGAAAGAAGCCAGCTGGGCTCCTGAGTGGATGTCCCATCCACCCATCCGACAACAGAAGTACATCTGTACTTGTGACATTACCGGGAAAGTATACAGAAATATTTCTGTGCAAAATGCAATAGTAAGAAACTACTTCAAATGCCCATTACCTTACCATCAACCGTGCTAGCCCCACCCTCTCACATAGTATAAAAAGAGAACTAGGGGAAAAGTCCTAAAATAGCTCACATCTTTGATGTAGTTCATCTCTTCTTTCAGCTGACTGGTAGACCAGCCATACACCACCATTTCTTTCTGCTGATTTTGATCTGATCTTCGCACCACACCATACACGACACCCTGAGGAAGTTTCCTGGTAGGTTCTCCATTGCTCAGGTCAGGATGCTGGGGGAAGGGTAGAAAGGGAAAGAATAAGGATTCTTTATGGTAGCATAACGGTTAAACACTGGTCTGCTAATTGAAAAGTCAGTAGTTTAAATCCACCAGCTGCTCTGCAGAAGAAAGCTGTTAACAGTCGGGTTCTGGAAAGATTACAACCTTGGAAACCCTATAGGACCGTTCAACTCTGTCCTACAGAGTGGCTGTGAGTTGGAATTGACTCAGTGACAAAAGGTTTAGTTTCTGGTTTCTGGAAGTCATCTGACAGTCAAATTGTCCTCTAAGGTTAGGGAGGACCTGGTGGATGAATAAGGTGGTGGGTTTAGTAAACAACCCATTGTGACCATTCCTTAAATACTTCTGAGAAGCCAGACAGAGGGAGTATGACTTCACATAAATAGGTAGATAGATGACAGATAGATAGATAGATAGATAGATAGATAGATAGATAGATAGATAGATGATAGATCAATCTATCTCCCTGATCCTACTGGTAGAGCCTTCATACTTTCAATTAAAGCTTTGATCATTGTTGAAATGCAAATAGGTATTATATCCAACTTTTAATTGCACAGCTTTGTAGAAATGAAGTCTCAAGAATTAGAAGAAAGGAAAACTAAGATTGGTCAAGTATCTACCATAAATCAGGCACGCTCCTCAGCACAACTAATCTTTAGGACTCCTCTCTAGCGCAGCAATTGTTTTCTAGCTGAGAACTGTCCTCTAGCTAAAGTTCGATGTGGTGATACACCTACGTTTAAGCCCAAGTCTGTCCAAGTTTACATTTCTCCACACTGAAGGCTTTGTTATGTAGAAGCATGGTGTTAGCAGGCTCTGGAACATGGAAGGGACAGACAAGGAAATAAAACCAAGATAAAGAGCTGAGAGTTCACAGACAAATGTCCTGCTCCCATTTCTCCCTGGCGCTGGCTCTGGTACCATTGTACCTCAACAACACCACAGTACCAAAGTTGAATTCCATGAGGGCAACCCTGCTCAGTCATGGATCTTTAAACTACTTTTGGTTAGCTTGTTTCCATGCACTAACAAAACACTTCGGACATACAAAACTAACATGCATTTTAAAATCATTCATTGAGTCTGAACAACGAGTACTTTAGATCTCATTCATTCAAAAGACATCAAACCAAAGTAAGTCCAGAAAGATACATATCAAATTATTAATAAAGACGACCTCTAAGCAGGGGATTATGACGTGGACAGAGATGCTAAAGATAGGCATAACATTCACTTTTTTTTTACATCTTTATGTATTATGTTTTGCTGTAACACTTAATGAAACATGTCTCACCCTATGCACGTCTCTGAGAATAAACCAGATGTATAGAGCTGCCATGTTTTACGTTTACTCCCTCATTGCTATAAAACTGGAGCCAATCCACCATTGTACCAAGATTTCAGAGGCTGTAATCACACGAGAGGGCACTGTCCATATGTTTCCTGCAGAACAGCTGGTGGATTTGAACTACCTACTTTTGGGTTGACAGTGCAATTACTTACCCACTTAAGTCTCTTAAATGTGGGTGGATCCCATACAAACTGACACTGCCCCTGAAATTAATACATCAATTAAGGTGATCAGGCTGCTAAATGGTTCTCAGTGTGTTAACGAGCTGCGATTAAGACATCCTAATGTTCAGATATGTAATTAGGAAGGGGAAAAACTCTAAGGAAATTCCCACATTCCAGGAAACAAGAGCCTGCTCCTTCGGTGTACCACCCCACCTAGTTCCTGAAAAACAAGCTGGTGACACACAAAGCTTTGGTAAATGCATTTCTGCAAAGCAATGGCTTTCATAGGTGAGTTAGTTTGAAGGAAACCCACAGGTCACTGAACACAGCATTCTGCCTCAGCACAGGAAGGGCTCTATGTAGGGAAATGAGGAGGACCACGGCTGATGGAGGTCAAACAGAACCAATGCCAAAGACAGGGAGGGCTGCAAATACTGCACTAGGTCCTGGATCTGAAAGTTGTTATATGCCATCGAGTCAGAACCAATTTGTAACTGATCCTCCAGTGGGTTTATAGAGGCTTTATATCACATGGCAGGAGACAGGTCATCTTTCAGCAGCTAGAGGATTCGAACCACCAGAGATGCATATCCTTTGGATCAGCTCACTACTCCACCACCAAGATCTCAACAGAAGGAAATTTACTTTTTCTTTTGTATCTTTTTTAACTCCTTTAATTTGTTTTTTGAGGGGGGGGGAACTTAATTTTTTAACTGATAATTTCTTTACATTCTAGTCAAAGAGGAAGGTCCAAGGGAAAGTGTGTGGTCAGAAACTCTGCTTATGAGCAAGGCAATCAGCTTGAGCCACTGCACCAGGGGAGACGAAGGAGCTTCCAGATGTGCTGGGCTATGACGAGGTTAAGCAACAAATGCTTTTGGAGAAAGAAAAAGATACTTATTGTCGTCATTTTATGTTTGCTGTTGTTATGTGGTGTGGAGTCAGAATCAACTCATAGCTGACCCGCTAGTGGGTTTTCAGAGGCTGTAAACCACACGGGAGGAAACAGTCTATCATTCCACTAATGTGGATTCAAACCTCCCACCTTTGGCTTAGCAAGGCAGCTCCTTTCCATGACGGCATTGGAGAAGAGTACTGAATATCCCATGGACTTCCAAAAGAAAAACCAAGTCTGGCTTAAAGGAAATGCAATCCAAGTGCTCCTTAGAGATAAGAATGGTAAAACTTCATCTCATACTTTGGACATGCTATCAGGAAGGGACAATCCTTGGTAAAGACATTGTGCTGCAACAGGTGGAGAAGCAGAGTAAGAAAGGAGACCCTCCACAAGAGGAACTGACACATTAACAGCAACTATGGGCTCACGCTTATCAGAGAGCATGCAGAAGGCACGGGACAAGGCAAGGTTCAGATTTGTTATTCATGGAGTAGCTATGAATTGTAGTGGAGTTGATGGCACTTAACAACAACAGTTATAACATGCTATTCTTTTTTCCTCATCCTTACAATAACTCTATTATGTAAATAGTATCAGCTTTTCCAAGGTGACAGGAGTCAAATGCCAATATCTGTCTTACAAACTGAAGTTCTCTGCTTGACTACAATGTCTTCAAATAGTCAACAATTAGGAACAGAGTTGTAACTCACATCCTTATATGGTAGCCCAAAGCCAGAAGGAGAAGGGAAGCCAGAGTCTGGCCCTCCAGTCCCTAGTCTATTCTGAAGACACTAGCAGAAATGAATGAGGAGGCTCTCCCGTGTGGAGTGGATCTGCTCTCTCTTTTAATCCAAAATAGCCTCAGGTACTGGTGGCACAATGGATAAAGCATTCAATTTCTAACCAAAGCATCTGAATCTACCAGTTACTCCACAGGAGGAAGGAGAGGTAGGCTGCTTCTGCAAAGAGTGACAGCGTTGGAAACCTTAAAGGACAGCTGTACTCTGTTTCACAGGGTCTTTATGGGTTGGAATCAACTCAAGAGCAGTGGGTTTAAGGTAAATCTCCTTCTTGCCTCAGGGGAACTTTCATGTGCCCTGTTACCTCTGCTTGCACAGCTCACAATTCAGCTCAAATATTCCTCCCTCGAGGAAGCCTTCACTGACTCACATTCTCACTACCCTTCTCTGCAGCAATCGGTATAACCATGCTACTGCCCTTTATGTAATGCTGGCCTCCTCTGGAAGCTTCAAGAAGTCTAAGGCCAATTGTGGTACATTCACACAATGGAATACTAAGTGAATACTACTACTAAGTGAATACTAGAATACTGTTAATGTAGCACTAAGGAACAACTTCATATATTACTACAGAACATGGGAGATTCTAGAGAGATTATGCTGAGTGAACCTAATTCAGTCTCATAAGGACAATTACTGCATAAGATTATCATTGTAAAAAGCAGAAGGATAACTGGTAAGATGTGTATAAATGTCAAAAGGGGGAAGGGTAGGAAAAGGGGAGAGGCTGGAAATCAGTAGCAGAGTTTAGTGGGCAGACAGGAAAAGAGGTGGAGAAACAGGAAATACTCAGTGTAGACTCGAAAAGAACAGGATAATTGTAGGTATAGATCTATAGTAGTTAATTACATAAAATACAATATATATGACTGTATGAAACACAGTGTAAATGAAAGATTGAATAAAACACAGTGTACATGAATGAAACACAATGTATACAAATGATTGTATGCAAACCAATTTTGAAAAACACAAGTAAATACGAAAAAAGTCTAGGGTCATGTTTGTTTCCCTTTTCACTATAATTTTCAGTATCTAACAGTGATTGACACATAATAGGATGCTTAACAAATATTTGCTGAATGAATACAGAGCTTTAGAGGATGAAAGAGGTTCTGGGTTATTACACACTTGCAGTCATCTAGGTGATTACAATTCACAGCAAATCGGCACTGGGTTTCCGAGGCTCTTAACCTTGATAAGAGGAGAGTGCCCATCTTTCTCCCTCTAAGATTCTAGTGAATTTGAACCACTAAAAACACATGACCTGAGGTTAAAAGCACAACACACTACAGATTACTCCTCCAGACCTCCTGAGAGAAAGATCCAGAGGAAGTAAATAGAGTCTAGCTAAAGGGAACACTCTTTGTTTCTTTTAAATAAAATGTCTAGTAGCTGATGAGTGCCTTAATCATCACCTATTTGGAAGATGAGAGAGACCTATTACAAAATGCATACTCAGATTGAAACACTGTACTCTTGTACATTATACCTATTAAAACTCCTGACCATGGAGTAACTATTGGAAAAAACTATCCTGAAAACAAAGGCTCTAATAAATGCAGGGAATAAAAGAAGGCTATTCTTTAATTCCAAAGAAGTTAAAAGGAAACAATCAATAGAGAAGGCCTTCTGTAATCCGTAGGTGGATTAACAACCAGTTTAATTAGTAGAACATAAAATTTTCTCAGCTGTTCTGTGATCTACTTCCAACTTAAACCGTACCTGTAGGCATGCATGACAGTGATTTTCCCTAGAGAGATATTTAGTAGCAA